TCAAAGCTCTTTAATTGACCGAGTAGCGCGGTAGCTTCCACACACGCTACATTTTCCCAAGTATTTCTGAAGGATCAGTAAGTGACACCACCACCACACACGGACCTGTATGTGCAGCCGGCGGAAGCGCATCCGTGTGTTGGTGACATCACGTACTGATCCTTGGGCTGCCAGAGCACAAATTCACATATAAACAATAAAAAATATATAATTAATAAACAATGAAATGACATTATAAAAACTAAAGAAAGAGGAATAAAAACAACAAAAATACAATATAGGCCGTTGTTACATTGAAAATATGTCTTGGTTTTGACAAGCAGTAGCATTTTTCAAAGGAACAATTATTAAAATAAACAATATTAATGATAATAATGTGATAATTAAGTTACTTTATACAAACAACAATGGTTCTCCGTTTGTTGAGAATAAAATTGGTATTAAAAAAAGTATCGTTCAGGAACCGGTATCCAGCCCTAAGTGGATCCCAGAAACCTGAAGGATTTCACAGCAGACACAGAGCTGTTGAGTATGGTGATTTGAACCAGAGTGGGGGCCTCCTCCTGAAGTCCAAGATCATCTCCACAGTTTTGCGACTGTTAAGCTCCAGGTTGTCCTGACCGCACCAGAAAGCCAGCTGATCAACCTCCCGTCTGTAGGCCGACTCATCCCGGATGAGGCAGATGACCGTTGTGTCGTCAGCGAACTTCAGGAGTTTGACAGATGGGTCTCAGTGGTGCAGTCGTTGGTGCTGGATGTGATGTTCCCCAGCCTCATCTGCTGACTCCTGTCAGTCAAGAAGTCTGTGATCCACTGACAGGTGGAGGCTGGCACAGTGAGCTGGGTGAGTTTGGTGCTGAGGATGTCCGGGATGATGGTGTTGAACGCCGAGCTGAAGTCCACAAACAGGGTTTGTTCGGTTGTTGGCTGTGAAGCTCTTTTCTAGTTTTTCAGCGTAGCTCCTCTTTGCTGCTTTGATCTCTTTAGTCAGAGTGTTCCTGGCCTGGTTTTACAAGACTCTGTCCCCACTTCTGAAGGCCTCCTTCTGATGAAGCTGCCTGAGTTTCGCTGTGAACCAGGGTTTTTGGTTGTTGTATGTGCGGAAGGTTTTAGTCGGCACACACATGTCCTCACAAAAACTGATGTAAGATGTCACAGTGTCAGTTAGTCCAGGTCAGTGGCTGCAGCCTCAAAAACACTCCAGTCAGTGCAGTCAAAGCAGGCCTGTAACTCCAGCTTTGATTCGTTGGTCCATCTTTTCACAGTCTTTACAACAGGTTTAGCAGATTTCAGTTTTTGCCTGTATGTTGGGATAAGATGAACCAGACAGTCCTAAGGCTGCACGGGGAACAGAGCGATAGGCGTCCTTTAATGTTGTGTAGCAGCGGTCCAGTGTGTTAGTGTCCCTGGTGGGACACTTAATATGCTGTCTGTACTTTGGAAGTTCGTGGATGAGGTTTGCTGTGTTGAAGTCCCCGAGAACAATGAGCAGGGAGTCTGGATGTTTTTTCTCCATGTTAGCTTCCTAGTCGGCCAGGTGTAGTAACGCCTCACTAACACAGGCCTGAGGTGAAATGTAAACAGTGACCACAACAAACGAGGAAAAATCCCGCAGTGAATAAAACAGTTTACAGTTTATAAATAATGTTTCTAAGTGAGGGCTTTTTCTGTGAGCACCGTTACGCGGTCCACCCAGAAGAGGTTAAATCCCGGTAGGTGAAGTGCGCTGTCCGGGATGTGCTCAGTGAGCCAGGACCTTTAAAACAGAGGGCGGCAGATCTGCAGAAGTCCGAGTTAGTACTGTTGAGGAGAAGCAGTTCGTCCATTTTGATGGCCAGAGAGCGGACATTCGCCAGGTGGATAGAAGGGTGCGAAAACCCCACTGTTTAACCAGCGCGCCTGCACGCCTTCTCCTTCGGCGTCTCCGGAGGAACCCGAAACAGAGCTGCCACTCCTCCAACTAAGTTCCAGGTTCAATCTGGAGCGGTGCAATAGTGTTAGCAGTTAAAAGTTTGATGTTTAAGAGCTCTTCTCCGTTAAAAGTTACCAGAGAGAGACGGCAGAAAACAGAGTTAATAAACAAAAACACAAAAAGCACTACGGAGCGTAATCCAGTAATCCAAAAAAAGTTTTTAAAAATACTTAAGTAATCAAAAGTTAAAAGTACTACACATTAAAATCTATTCATCTTACAAAAAGCGACCTCCTTTCTAAATTCACTCAAGACGGGTTTGAATACAGTTGTAGCGAATCACAATAAGGAAAACTGAATCGCAAGAGGACAAGTGGATTTTTCCTACACTGTGGGGGGATTAGTCTGTGTTATTGCTCTAATGTTGTGGTAGTATCCTCTTCAGACCATCTGACAGACACAGGTCCCCAGATGGGACTTTGGGTATGTAAGAATGAGACAAGGAGGTGGAAACCAAAACTTACTGAAAACACTTGTGCCCAGGCAGAAATCTCAGAAACTTCAGCCCCTCTGATAAAGTGCACCTCACAATCCCATACAGAGCAAGGGTGGCTTCAGTTTTTATATGTTTATATAGCAAAACTCTATCGGCTACATTAACATTCTCTCACAAAATGGCAACAACTCAAAGTGCAAATACAGAGCCCGGTCTGCTGCACAGTCACACCTGATGCCACACTGCTCTCACTACAATCCTCCCTCTGTAAGAAGTCTGAATAGAAGCCTCTTCTAGAAAACTCCAGTGCCGGTTTAAACAGACCTGCGCACGAACTCGGTCCTCATAAAGTCTGGGGGCCAATCTGCTGGGTCATTTGGTGGAGCAGCAACTGTTCCATTAGGGTCTGAGCTGCTTGTATCTGATGCTGGCTGTGCACCTCTGGCTGTGCTCGTACTGTCTAAGGCTGAATGTGGATCAAGTGTGCTTGTACTAACTGACTGGCTGGAGTCTGTGCTTGTGCTGGCTAATGATTCAGCATCAACTTTACTGACAAACTTCCGCACAGCCCCTGTAAATTATAGATAATTTCTCTGTATTAATGTTATCAGCTGCATCAGGTTTATCAAATGTTATAGTTGTTTCACTCTAACATTATTCAGTCAAAGTCTGACAAGCAACCAAGACACAGACAGACAAGAGCTGCGCTGCTCAGCTGGTTAGCAAGACAGACAGAAAGAGAGATTCACTGCAGCTGCACATTACTGTTATCTGTTATCTTTGCCTGACGTTCACGCAGTTCACGCTCATTGAGCTTTTTCTTTTCACGTTCCCAGACGGATAGTCCCTCTTCATCCTAGTTGTAAACACTCACTTTCAGTTTTGACATGAGAGTGAGGCGGGGCCGACCAGCTCTGTGCTAGAGCGACCTGATTACTATCACTACTTTTGCCGGTGTCGCATCAGCTGGGCAAAGTTGATTCACGTCGAGTCGGCAGGCGTGGCTGAATGTCTTCAGCCCTGCGACCCTGTACGCAGGATAAGCGGTTAACGATGGATGGATGGATGAATGTCTTCAGGTCAGGTGGCTGTGTGGCTCTGTGGAATGGACGGAGATGGCTGGACAGTTCACCAAAACTTTCTTCCTCCTGAGGTTGACCATCTGCTGCAAACTGCTGGTCAAAGTAGACACTTACAATATTTCTTGTAAATCTCAACTTAAACATTATTGTAATCAATCAAATATAAAACCAAAGCTATTTGCCACTGCCAGGGCATTACCTTTTATCTAGCTTCTTAAAAAAAGTTAAGAGTGCAGAGCCACAGTCAAAACATCATAACAGGCTCCTTCTGAGCAACAGGTTAACAGATATAAATCTATTTTCAGGGAGCAGCAGAAACAGTCTATGTTCAGTAGCTAGATTGAGGTGAAGTGGTCACCCAACGCTGCCGAAGTTGAATTGTCCTGAACTTTTTGTACCTGACGCGGAGCACAAAGCATTGGAAGAGAGACTGATCCTTGCTGTTTGAGAGTTTCCAGTTTACTAAATAGGACACAACAGGAGGGAATTCACATGGCAGATCATCCCCACAAAACTAGATGAAGGCCTATCAGGTAAAGTTATGTAACGTTAGTCTTTAATTTCAACTTAAGTTAAATAGGCTACAGCTGTGTAACATACAGAAGCTGTTGCCATGGTTACTATCCATAGAGCGCCTGCTGTTTACTTGCAGAGCGCTTGTCTCCCTGTCTGAAATCACCTGAGGAGCTCGGAGCAAGCTCTGGTCTGGGACTGCATGAGTGCTGCCGGCACTGGGGAGCTACAGTTCATTGAGGCAACCATGAATGCCAACATGTACTGTAGCATACTGAAGCAGACCGTTGCCACCAGTTGTGGGGAAGACAGAATAGAGTCACTTGGAAGGCAGACTCACCATGTCACCATGATACACAAGAAAAAAACAACAAACAAACCCAGAACTATACCATTACCTTGATGTTATTTACAGAAGCCCAACAATTCCCACCAAGAGCAGCACTAGTCGACAGAGGCAAGGAAAAACTTCCTTTTAAGAGGCAGAAACCTCGAGCAGAACCATGGCTCAGGGTGGGCGGCCATCTGCCTCCACCGGTTGGGGTGAAGGAGAGAGAGAGAAAGAGAGAGAGAGGAACAGAGAGAAAGAGAGGGATGGAAGGAGAGAGAGAGAGGAGGGAGGCAGCCTACACAATATACACACAGGGGTACAGACAGTAAAGGTGATGTTGCTATAGACTGAATGAAAAATGGTACAGCTCATGCTTTAATAATGCTAAACACAAACAAATCAAGATTAGCAGGGTATTTGCATAACTACAGATAAGAGATAGAATACTGGCTAAAACAAACTTTTAACAAGCATGGATAGAAATTTGTAAGATGTAAATGGTATAATTGGGAATAAATAGTGTGTTCTTAAAACTTTTTAGAAGACAATTACAAACAATACATTTTGTCATTAAGTTTAATTGTGATGCAGCATGTCACCTGTGAATATTAACTTGCTGCCTCTTTCCTACCCCCCACCCCCCACCCCCCACGCTCCATACCCCAGCTGCTCTGACCTACAAATGCATGGGGGACCAGTGGACGGTGTACTGTCGCGTGATCCGAGAGAAGAACCTCTGTCAGGACATGAGGTGGTACCAGCGCTGCTGTGAAACCTGTAGGGACTTTTATGCCAAGAACATACTGCACAAGAGCTAATGACCAAATGCACCTACTTTTCCTCCAAAAAAATGCTAATTTCTTGTTTTTAGTACTGTTAAATGTTCTAAGAAAACAATGTCTATTATTGATTTAACGCAAGTAAACATAAGTGTACATTTGAAATGGGTTCATAAGCTTCTAATTTTGATGAAAAAGAAATATTTCTTTGGCTGTACACCAAAAAAAGGGTGAGTCTTTAGAATGCCAATTCAGGCGGCTTTATTGCACAGAATGACACAAGTGCTTGATTTTAAAGTAGAATTTTTCTGGCTAGTAACATGGGATTATGAGTTAGCTAGAGATTTCCCCTCTCCTTTCTTCCTTAATTAGCTTTTCCTTTGTATCTTTTCTTCTGTTGTACTGTATTATAGCTAATTGTTGTAATTTTAATAACTAGTAAATAGAAGTACATAAGTAAAATTATGATACTTAAGTATTAATTAAGCATACTACATTTATGTGTAAGTACTGATCAGGAGTCATGGTAAAATACTGTGGGATCACAGTGAATCAACCATGCTTATGAAAGGAGACCCCGTGCTTTGGATAGCTTATGTAGCAACAACATGGTGGAAGCATTAACATACACTCTAAGGGTACGTGGTTGTTTTGTTTTCTTTCAGATGCAGTTCAGTTAATGGATTTAAAATGCCTGGGTCAACAATTTTACTCTGATTGATTTAAATTTACCACTTAGATAGTGTGAGCACCTCAGTGCAAAATCTGGTTTTGCAGTTTTAGTTGTTTGTTCTTCAAGTATGTGATGAGCTGAATGAGCAGTGAGAACTGACACCTTTCATTAGCTGTTTCAGTACTTGTTGTCCGACTATGGGCATGACATAGTTTGCTTAAAATGTCCTGTGCCCCAAGCCATGAACACATGCGTCACCTGTACACTGTAGCCTCACAGCAGGGCTGTGATCCTGCTTGGCTGCAGGACCAACCACAGCTTTTATGCAATCCAACTTAAAGGGAAAATTTGACACCTTTTATGTGGATATCCAGTCAGTGTTGTTGGTAAATGTAGCCAATTGAAGCAATACATTCCTAAGTCTGTGCTACTGGCTTGCCCAAGAAAGCAGAGTCCTGGGGCGAGTTCAATCTCAGAACGTTTTGCACCGGTTTGCAACATTTTCAGATTGAACGACATGTTTCCTTGCAACGTTGCGCAAAGTTTCACAACGAGCTTCGTGGTATGTTTTCTTCTGTTTGGTGGGCGTGTCACAGGTATTACCCAATCAGCTGTGAAAGGTTTGTAAACACAACGGCGTTAAAAAGGCATGCATTGCGCTTGCGTACACAACAGGGTGTTCAGGGAAACACCGTTTCTGTTGAAAAAAACGTTTTGCTACGTTTTGTCTGCGCTGAACTCAGCCCTGCTATTCCTCGTTGAGCCATGCCAGCAGTGCCCACATAAACCAGGATTCATTGCACATATATGTATGACATAAATATACTGGCAGAATGGACTTCTAACTACAAAGCTGAACTAGCAATGAAGTATAAAGTTCCACAAAAATCAACAAGAGCATCCAACTTCTATAATTCCTTTTTAGTTGGCTTCAAATGACAAATTAACGTTCAAACACTTTTTCTTTCCCACATTATTACAACATTAGTCCAGCATTGCCCCAGCCTGTAGGAGCACCACTCAGGTCTATAATGTTAGCTTTTACTTTGTTGGCCAAAACAAAGTTGAGTGACAAAAAAACTCACTCGATGATCATCTGCCCTCTCGGGCACGCTGGTCTTGGTAGTCTTTTCAAGTTTAAATTCGGAATCCTGAAGAAGGTCTTCAGCATACCTCTGTCCATTTTCATGCAAAAGGCTTTCTTAGGATTGGTGTTGCAGACAGCATCTAAAAAAAACTGCCCATGCTCAAATTTATTGCAGCAGAATAATTCAGTTTCTGTTTGTACCGGAGAAAAATTTCAGCAGAAGCACCAACAGTCGGTGTATTAGCGGCTTAGGTCCTGGGGGTCCCAGCCAGCCATATCCTCTTGCACGGCTGTGACTGAGGCTACCTCTGCCTAAATATGACTAAATACCCGAGTCAGCAAAAACATTGTAAACTGTATTCTTGTCAATATTATGCTCTGCAGTTAACGCACAGTTGCAAACGTAGCTTGTTTGCAAAACAAGATAAGAAGACAGCATCTAGAGCTAGAAATCAAGTAGCCTGTAGTTCTCTGTGCCAGCCACTACATCACTGTCATCTCAAATGACGCCGCTGGATGCAGCTACTTGGCAAACTCAGCTAGCATGCGCTGAGGAATTTATTGCTTCAGTGGACTGCATTTAACATCAGCACTGTTTGGACATCCTCATTAAATGTTCCAATTTTCCCTTTAATTTGAAGCATACTGAGGCTTTTAGATACGAGCTGTTACCTTGTAGCCAGTGCACATACACTAATATTAAGTTGATGTCAAAATGATAAGTTGAAAGGTCAACTTCAGTAGTCTTTTTATATTTATTCATTTTAGCTGAAGCTTTTATCCAAAGCGACTTACAATTGCTATACACGTCAGAGGTCACATGCCTCTGGTGCAACTAGGGGTTAAGTGTCTTAGCCAGGGGTAGCCGAGCAAGCACTAGTGCTAGGAAGGTGGCTTCATACCTCTTCTTACAATGAAAGTAATGTTAGCCTCATTAGCAAGGCTACTGAAAAGTAACCTCCTGATGCCTGCACATATACCATTATCATATATCATTTGAGAGTAACCTGTATCACTTCCCTTGACTTGAGATGAACCATGTTATTGTTTGCACATTGAGATCTGATCACAATACAAAGGCCATTGATAAGATGTCATTATGCGGATCACATATCAAGATACAGGTCACCTGTTAATACATATTACAATAGAAATGGGGTTACAAGAGTAACTTCATTGTAAAGTGCATTAAATCTACATCTACATCTGACAGTAAATATCTTTAAATGGTCACACATTGAATACTTAATATGAGCACTATATGACAGCTGCCAGCAGCTGCTGTTAAAAAATATTCTTACCTTGTGAACCCTTTTCACATAGTCATGGAGCTCACATGCATGTGTGTGCATGAATGTCTGTGTGTGTGATAACAACAAATGCCTCAGTCTTTTCCAAGGGGTTGAATGGTGCTGTCTTTTGACCTGTTTCACTATTGTGGAATTCAGCTTGCTGTGGTCCTATAGTCTTTGTTAACAGTTATCTGTTTTCGTATGTTGTAGGATTATTTAATAACATGCCGTTTATTGATGAGTCTTTTTTTTTTCTTTTGCTGATGTAGTGCAAATATGCTTAATTTTTCCTGTACTGAACAGTTTTTCTGTTTTTCCAAGTTGCACATACAGTTTGTTTGGTACATAAACTGCCACTACATGTATTTTATGGTGCTGAAATGAGTAAAGAATCTGTTTGTACAAGGATTTAACCATCTGTCTGTTCTGTGTAGTCACACTATATTTGTTTTGTCATCCCCTTTGTGTCCAATATTCATCAGACCATTCACAGCAAGAACCTGAATGATTGGATCAAAATATATTCTATTTCAAGTCTACTGTAAAATGCTTCTTTTATTTTGTTACATAATAAGTAATGTGATTTTACATGGAAAAACAAAACAGTGGATTAACCATTAAATCTGAAAGCAGACTGCTCTCTTCCTGTCCCCACTGTTGTAATAAATAATTCATACATGCCTAAGATATAAGAAAATTGTATTGAAAAGTATTGATCTTTTTGAATAACAGGACTCCAGACTATCGTTTTTTTAGTAGGAGCACTGTAGCCCCTTATTGAAAATTTTAGGGGCAGAAAGTTAAGGGGTTACATTAAATTGACCTTCAATGGAATTTTTCACATTTTCCCCATTTTAACTATTTCATTGATAAAGGCTTTGATAAATACAGAAACTACAATGTGCTGTTTTATTTTGTTTCACTGTCGCATTTTAATTAGTGCTTAACAAATGCATATACTGGAAGTGGCGATGCCTTTTCATTTGTGAGTCTCTCTGTGTAACTATAATTCTTCCTATGAAGCATCTACTAAATGCTTAAAATCTAATATTTTATATGAAGAATCAATTTATTGTATTTATTTATTTATGATGCTATTAGTGTAATATTTTTAATCTTCTCAATTAATAATCTTTTTTTTCACTCTTTATGACAACTGAGCAAACACCATCACCTGTTGAATGCCATGAGATGTTTCTGAAAGTTCCAGAAGAAATCTGGATGTTCAGTTAAGAACATTTTTTTCCAAGTTAAAGAATGAATCTTCAAGCAGAAAGCAGAAAACTTAATTAGTTAAACAGTTGTAAACACCCCTGAATGATTTGGACATGTGTACAAACAGTTTACAAGTACGCTTTAAGGATTTAGTCATGTGTAATCATTAGGGGTGTAACAGTACAAAATGCTTGGTTCTGTATGTACCTCAGTATCGGTATGTTTTTGGTACAGCAGGGAAAACAAATAACGTAGAAAATAACAATTTTGTCATTTATTTTGTGAAGGTGTGAGCGCACATTGTAGAGGGGCTCAAGCACTTTGACCAGGGATGGGCAGTATTTAAAATACATATTTTGAAATACAAAATAGGATTGTATTTGATAGTTTTGATGAAAATGCCTTCATATTTTGTATCAAAATACAAATAATAATAATAAAATACTTTGTAAGAAGTCTATGTGATGACATCATAAAAATTCTGCCTCTGATTTTAGCCTACTCAGAAGTTTGCCCAGATGTGCCGAGATCAGAACAGAAAACTTATCCAGAGCCGAAGAAGAAGGTCAAAGTGAGGTTGCCAGCTTTCCATAGATGTTTTGCATAATTTGCTACAATTCTTAAAAATTCCTCCCTCACAGCCCTCACAGTTAATTTTAGCTTGCTACTTTCAGGCCATATTAATTTTGTCATTAACAACATTGTTAACAACATTGTCATAGTACACCACATTCTTTATGACATACTTACACGTATAGTGGTTTTTGATCTGGACCTGGTCCAATGTGGTTTACAAGAGCAATGAAACCGCCCTTTTTCCCATTTTCACAAATCTGAAATTGTGTTTAAAGAAGCTTAAGCCTCTCTGGGGCAATCAAGTACATATTTGACAGGTCTAGACATTGATTAAAAAAAATTGTGAAAAGTTTAAACAGGCCATGATAAGTGGGACTTACTAACTAACTTACTAACTAAAAAATGTTCTTTTTCTCTTCTCTGCTTACACTTCTAACTCGTCTAGTGGTTACATTTTAATCTCCACAAACAAAAAAATCGTAAAGAATTTTCATTTGTTATTTAACATTTCTTGTTGCAAGGTACATTTTTAACAAATGCTTTTAGAAAAGTGATGGGGACAAAGTCAGCCATTTCAAAAAGTGTTGGGGACATGTTCCCAGCATTCCCAGTGTAAACAACACCGATGCCGACACATTTTTATCCTGTGGACGTTAGCCAGGACAGTTAATATTGTAACTGGCTTACTAATATCTTACATCAGACTTGCTTTTTGTTTGTTCGGCAGCAACGTCCTAACGTGTTCAGCTGTCAGACTCCGCAGTGTAGAGGACTTGAAAAAAGACCCGCCCCACTCTGCCTCTTATTGGCTGGCAGGTATTGTCGTGTCGATTGGTTAGTCATAATGCAGCTTTAAGGTTGCAAAACTCATGCTAGAGTGTAGATATAAGCGACCGACGACTCCCACTCCCCCCTCATATCTGATGACTCACTTAGGCTAATTTGGAGATAATGCTGTGATATTTAAATACAGTTGTGTACACTTCTGCACTTTGACCTGAGGTAGACCAGCTGTGGTTGAAATGTTATATCAGTTATGTCCACATGAAATAAAAGGTTATTTTTATATGTGCATAATTTGGTCTCTACTTTTCTGTCTTTATCAGGAAGCCGCCCTCCCAGAAATCAACAAGTTCATAAATGCAGCAACTTTGTTTGCAACATCTTTTGCTATATTTTTGGACGTTCATTACAAATTAGATTGTGTTGAAGTTTTTATTTATAATATTATTGAAATCTGTTGTTTACTTACACTGCGTGCACATTTATTAGGCAAGTAAGCATTCTGAATGAATAATTATTTCAATGCACATTTTCCAACTCCAAACCATACAAACATGAATGCTCAATGGAGTAAATCATTTTCAGGTTAACTGCATTGGTGTAATGAGGGAGGGTGCAGTGAGAGTGTATCACACCTTATCACAGTAAAAAATACAGTGTCAATATTTCAGTGTCAACCTATTTTAACCTACAGAGTATTTACAACTATATGGAGAGTAAACCAGAGTAGAGTTAAAAGTCAGTGTAAAATTAAACTCTACAGAGTGATGATTACGCGTGCTGCAATTCTGCTTGAGGGGTCCGCTGCTGTGCTGGTTTACGGGAGTGGAGTCACAGTCGGGTAAGTAAAGTTAACATTCCCATGTTTTCAATATCGTTCAATAATAGTTTTTTCAACTAAACACAGTTTTATAGTTTCATAGATGTCGATTGAGGACATGTTGGCAACATGTACCTGTTAGGTCCCCTGTTCCTGGGTTGTGTGTGTGTGTGTGTGTGTGTGTGTTCCCTTCTTGCAGGAGTGGAGTCAGGTGTGCAGGGGCCTGTCACCAGCTGCCAACTATCAGCCTCGTTATGCCCTGCTTTCTTATACCTGGTCCTCACCTCCACTCAGCGCCAGATCGTAGACTCTTGTTCCCAGTCTTGTTCCAGCCATTCTTCTCTAAGACTAGTTCCTGTACTTGTTCCCTACTAATCTTGTTCTTCTGTGCAGCAGATATTCCTGCCTGAATCAGAATCAACTTTATTGCCAGGTATGTGTACACATACGAGGAATTTGACTCTGGATTGTGCACTGCTCACAATGTGCAACAATTTTGTTTATATTCCTTAATGCACAGATACTTCTCTGTCATAATCATCATGCTCAACAGCATCTGACAATACTATCATTCTGAACTTCACGAGGTGTGTCCCTCCTGACGAAGCAGCCGCTATGAAGGAAGTCAACCTAAAAGGCCATGCCACATAAACTATGAGGCAAAAGCGGTGGGTAGTGGACACTGTTGTTAAGTCTAATCTGGATTTTGTTCCATTTGATGGGAAGTGTTTTTATGTAATCAATTTCCAGTCTTACAAATGGCGGTGAACACATCATGCAAAAGTTTGCAAAAACCAAATCTCTGAAAGATGCCACCAGAAGACAGATGATAAACATAATTGCTGCTGAGATGACACAAACACAAGAGTAAGAATCATTCATAGGCTATGAAGAAACATTGTTAGTATTTGTATAGTCACTGTTTCCAATTGAGTGATTATCATTTAATGCATATATTAGGCCCCCCAAAGTATCAGAGTGATGTGTACACAGGGGATAGCTGCTCTGTTTCCATATCTAGAAGACCCATATTCACAACATGGATATGTAAGTAAAAGTAAAAGTACAACATTAAACACGTAATTGCCCTTAGAAATGTTGATAGTATATTAAGTATACATGTATTTAACTACATAGGAACATTATTACGATCCAGAGAGTGGTTCGGGATACTTTGCACTACCGAATAAAGAGGTGCCTCAGTTAGCAAATCTTCCAAAAGTAAATTTACTTATCAGTTATACAATTTTGCTTAAATGTGTAGGCAGGAGTCAATAACAATGTGTTTTGTCTTAAGATGGTGGGCCAGGCCATGGCCAACCCAGACCATTCTGACCCGCTGTGTTATCTGATGGGGCTGTGGAAGCAGCTATTCCTATTTTGAGACTCTCTGCTGATGAAGACACTGTACATGAGAAGATGAAAGCTACCTTCATTTATAGTCAGTCAGTGGTCAATAATGAAAAGAAAACAGGAGATGTCTTCAGACTGTTAAGAACTCTTCATTAGTTGAATCACTGAAATATCCCATGCAGCATGCAGTCTCACTTATTGCTCCTTTCTGTGCACTGTATTTTTGCATTACAGATAGAACAAGATTTCAGGCTCCTATTTGGCGAGGTCACTGCCAACAAATTCTTGGAAAAGTGGCCCACCAATCTGAAGGCAAAAGTTATAAAGGAAAGCCATGGACTGGTACCCACCACAGAGCTTATTGACATTGGGGGAAACAAGGAAACTCCCAGAGTTGCAGAGTTGTGAACAAGAATGGTGTATTAGCATCCGGTCAGATCAAACAATGAAGTGTTTTCTTCTCAAAAGCGACCAGGGTAGACCAAACAGCCTTATAAAGCACATTAACCCCTTGATGCCTGAATTTATTTACATTTGCTTTCACTTTCAGTTTAATGTTAAATTAAGTGGAAATTGTTAATTTTTCTATAGAACATAGAAAAGATATAAATTCAGGTATGTAGGTATGATGCAAATTAGCGACAACAGGCATAAACGAGATACC